ACCCATCCACCCACCCGTCCATTGCTCTAGCCATCATCCATCATCTTCCATTATCCACCCATCAATCCACCATTCTTCCATCCACTCATCCTTCCTTCCTTCCATTCATCCATCCATGCTTCCTTCCATCCACCCACCCACCCATCCATCCACCAGTCCTCCCATCCACTCATCCATCATCCACTCAACCAAACACCCAACCATCCATCCATCAACTTCTAACATACATCTGTCCATTTATTCGTTATCCATCCATCAGACCACAAATCCACACATTCACCCGATCACCCACCCAACATCCATCCATCCATCCATCCAACATCCATCCATCCATCCATCAGCTCACCCATCCATTCATCCATCAATCATCCATTCATCCAAACACCCACCCATCCATCAACTTCCAATATCCATCCATCAATTTACTATCTAGCCAACTGACTAGTCAGCCAGCCATCTACCCACCCACCCACTCATCCTCCCATCCATCATCCATCCATCGATCCACCAGCCAATCATCCATCTATTCATGCTTGCTTGCTTGCTTGCTTCCTTCCTTCCTTCCACCCGCTTACTCATCCATCCACCCAACATCCCTTCTTTCATTTCTCCCCTCCAGCCACTCCTGCTGTCTTGAACAACCAGAAACAACAGACAGGTTTCCACCTTTGGGCCTTTCCTCTCAGGGATGGATGGATGCACTCAGACATCCCTCTGGAGTCCTGGCCCTCTTTGGAGGGGCCCTTCCTGGCAGCAGTCTCCCTATCCCCCTTGCACTGCTTTATTTCCTCCAGAACCCAGACCCCTACGTGCCAACTTCACACTCAGTTCCAAGACCGTGGGCGTCTGGCCCATGGCAGGTGCTGAATGAATGAATAAATGAATGAATTCACTGAGTCCCTCATTCATGCAACTGTCCTTCCCCACACCCTGGTCATGTGCCCCCTGGAACTGGGCAAACAGCACACACAATGTTCCTCCTGCTCCCACCAGCCATAAGGAATTGATGGGAGACTGAGGGTCAGGATGCTGAGCTGCGCTTCACCAAGTCACAGACATGGCGCGGAGGAAGGCAGGAGGGCAGGATCTACACCTCACTCACGCACTCACTCACTCACACACACACTTGCTCACCCACTCTTTCACTCACTCACACGTGCACTCACACACTTACTCAGTCGGCAAACAACCACTGGGCAGATTCCAGTGGAATCTTCTGAGGGGAGCAAACCCTCCCAGCATCCTATTCCTCTCCCTCTGGTTCAAGGGTCTCAAATTTTAACACCCCAGGAGCCAGGTGGGGTGGCACTGTGGGACCAGAGAGTATGTGGGCCTCTCGGGCCCAGATGCCTTAGGAAGCCCCCACCTCCACTCCTGCTTTGTATGGCACCTCGAGAGGGGCCTCGACCCTGAATCGGGGGCTCCCAGAGGAAACACACCAAAGTTGGGTTTGCAGGAGCTGGGCCGGTGTCCCAGAAGCATTTATTGAGCATCTGCTGCGTGCAGGCATGAGGCCCAAGGCAGTTGAATGAAGTGGTTCAGAGCCACCGACCTGGGTGCTGATCCTGGCTCCACCTCTTCCCCCATGCCTCAGTTTCCCCAGCTGGAAACGGGAACCATCAAGCGGCCACCCCCCAGGGGTTCAACGAGAGGACTGGATGAGTAAACACCCAGAAAGTGCTTAGGACCTGGCGCAGTGGAGATGTCAGTCACAGTAGCTGTCGTGAGATGCTCTCTCTACATGACTTGGCTGGCTGGGGAGGCAATGTCAGGCCGCAGAGAGGGTGCAGGTGGGGCCTGGCTACAGCCTTAAAATCCTCAAACCCTTCAGCCAGAGGGTGCTGCTGAAGACCCACCCCCGCCTGTGACTCCCAAGCCAAGGCCCACCTCCAGCCCTCTGCCCACATCTCCTCCGCCCTAGGCCAGGCTGTAGGCAGAATAGGTGGCACCTGGGGGCAGCATGGGCGACGGGGCCCCACCTCTGGCCCACCATCCCCCGAGGGTCTGTGTGAACCCCACCTCCCACTCCTCACTGCTTTCAGAGACCCTCAGCTGGAAACCTGGAACTCCTCAGAGCCTACGTGCCCTCGAGGAAAGCCATCCACACACATTCACTGTGTTGTGCCAACAGGCTTGATTTGGGGGCGGGTGTTTAAAAAAAAAGAATGTCATACTGGCAGTAAAGGACATGCAGACCAGAGCTGGGAAGTGGTTTTCACTAACATGGGAGCAGGCATGATCGTGGGGAAACGGGCACACGTCCAGGAGCAGAAGGCTGCGGCTCCAGGGAGGAATCTGGGCTCTTTCCCCACTGACCACACGCTGCTCCCCGGGGATGTGTCCCGCACACAAGCTCCCTCTTCTGCAGGGTGACACAGGCCAAAGGGTTTAAAGAGTTTCCTTACAGGAGTGTGTGTCAAACAAAAGGCCAAGCGGCACCCAAGCACCCAACTAGCTGAGGGCAGTGCCTGAGCGCTGGAGCACTACGCAGCTGTGAGGAAGGATGGGCGCCCCTTTGCGGGAGGATGGTAAGCAAAGATCGCTGCTAAAAAACGCCAAGAGCATTTTTAAAACTTGTGTTTTAAAAGGTGACGACAGGCGGGGGAAGGGTACAGCTCAGAGGGAGAGCTCATGCTTAGCATGCAGGGGTTGTGGGTTCAATCCCCAGCACCATCATTAAAATAAATACTTAAGACTAATTGCCTCCCCCCACCAAAAGAAAACTAAATAAACAAAAGGTGGCAGGGGAAGGGCTACACAGCTGGTGGACTCAAATGGGTGTGAAATGCCTTCTGGAAGGACACGGGGGAAGGGGGCGGGGACTGCCTGCAAGGTGCTCCTGTGCCACGCCTTTGTGACACTGAGAAAGTCTAACGTATTGTGATGGAAATGCAAATTTGAAAAGTAATCAGATTTTCTGCACCAGGTTGGGTGGGGGTGGTGTTTGCTCACCTCCACCCTGCGGGGGCCCCTCACAGGAGCTGGGTTTCCTGGTCTGTCAGGTAGGAGGCGTCATAGCTAAACTAGGTGCTTAACACCCGTGTGGATGCATGTCACGGGCAGGATCATTAGCACTCATTCAGTGCCAGGTGGCAGGAGCTTTTCTTCTGTAAACGCTCACAAGGCCCTCACTACATGCCCGCCCGCCAGTTGGATCAGAGTTTGGAGAAATGCACTGACCTCCACCATGAGCAGAGGAGAGCTCTGAATTCAGCTCCTACGCGGGAGGAGGACCCTGCACCCACACCCAGCGCCCTCCATTCGTGGTCTCCAGCACCCTGCTCCAGCCCCTCCAGGGAGCTACTGGCCTGTACCCGAGAATAAAGGCCCCGCCTCCCCAGCATTCGCCCAGGCTCTTTTAAAGCCCCGAACACCCCTTTGCGCCTCCGAAGTCCTACACGGCCTGCAGAGCCCAAGTGTTCCGATCCCTCCCACCCCCAGGCACCCGGGCTGTGCCCCGACCCTAGGCTGAGGCGGGCCATACCCGCCCCCGTTTTTCAGCGTGGGAGCCCCCGGGGCGAGGGCCGGCGAAACCGAGGCCTCTGCACCCTGTCACCAGCGCGACACTCCCCCACCCCGCCGCTCACCTCCACGAAGTAGAAGCAAGGCAGAAGCGTCATGCTGTCCTTCGGGGTTTTATTCTTCTCCTTGGTCGAGATCATGGTGCTGCGGGCGCCAGAGGCCGCGGCTGGAGGGGACAAAGCCGCGCTGGAGGAGGGGAGGCGCAGTCTGAGCCCTGGCGGGACCCGGTGCCCGGCGCCTGCAGGGGAGGGGCGGGCCGGGATGCGCAGGAACCGCTCGGGGAAACTGAGGCCCGGGAGAAGGAGGGACCG